AGGCGGCCTTTGAGACTGGGCATATAATTTTCTTCTAATCTGGTAAACTGAACATTTACTTGTGTAAGAGGATCACACTAGGCTTACAAATGATTGTTGCTTTTTGCAATGTTTTAACTCCCTGCCACTTAATAGTCATTTCCACTCCATTTGAATTCTGTTCATTAATGCTGTATTAGTTCATCAAGATACAATTATGATGAACTAACAGAATATAAACCTCATTCAGTGCCTTACACTTCATAAAGTTTTGTTGCATTAACATTTTAGAATGTATTAGGCCTTAGGAACTGATGAGATTAATAACATTTCCAAGCCCTCCATGTAGGGTCTGATTATTGGAGCACACTGTAACTGGGTTAATGTTAAACAGTGGCTGTCCTGCTGATTCACTTAGGGAGTTGGGAGATGACAGTTTTATTCTTCTTTCCTGGGCTGGCCTTACTGCACAATTAATTAAGACCTGCTTAAAAATAGCCTTCAGAATAGGGCCAGAGAAGGGAAAGCCTGTAAGATAATGGAACCATAATAGTAAATTTATTGTCAGGGCTGCAGCAGCTACACAACCAGGTTGGATTAGTGAATAGTACAGACCACATTGCTTTTTTTTTAAAACACTGCTAAGAGACCTCTCCTACCTCCTTCTTTACCGCCCTGTCTTCCCTTCTCCTCCTTCTCCATCCCTCCCTCCTCCCCCCCTCTCTCTCTCTGTGCAAGACCTCACCATGTAGCTCAGGCTGTCCTCAGATTTGCAGCAATCCTCCTGCCTCACATTCCTGAGGCTAAGAATTACAGTTATGTGTTGCTATCCCTGCATTTTTTTCAGTTATAAAGATTGAATCCAAGGCCTGTCAGGCAAGTAGTCTACCAACTTTACACACACACACACACACACACACACACACACACACACACACACACACACACACACATCTCTCTATATCTTCTTGGTTGTATTCAAGGGTTTCAAAGTGGTCAGGTGCTATTATTAAAGAACTTACTTTGGGGCTGGGGGTGTCATAAGATTGCTTACCTAGCATGCATGAAGCTCTGGGTTTAATCCCAAGTGCAACATAAAATTGGATGCAGTAGCATATGTCTGTAATCCCAACATGCTATAATTTCAGTACTCAGGAAGTAGAAGCAAGTTCAAGGTCATTCTTAGTTACATAGGAAGTTTGAAGTCCAGCCTTGGGCCACATGAAAGCCTATCTTTTTAAAAAATGGCTTTCATTGTCATTTAATACACAATTTAGTTTTTATTGCATTTTTCTTTTTTTTGAAGTGTGGTACTGAGGATTTAACCCAGGGCCTTGGGCATGCCAAACATGTGTTCTACTTCAGAACTACACTTCCAGCCCCCAGACAACTCTGTATATGTGTGTGTGTGTGTGTGTGTGTGTGTGTGTGTGTGTGTGTGTGTGTGTGGTGTGTATGTATACTCATGAAGGGGCTGCTCACCTATGCGCGCACACACACACACACACACACACACACACACATGAATGTCAGAAGGCTAGCAAGTACCCTCCTCTGGACCCCCCAAAGTTAAATCTGAAAGCATGCACAGCTGCGTTCAGCTTTTTTCATGAATGCTGGGGATTTAAAATCAGGTCCTCATGCTCGTGAAGCATATGCTCTTACCCACTGAGTTATCTCCCCATATCCCGAAACAATGTTATTTTTGAAACAGGGTCTTGCTCCGGCTTCCTAGCCTACCTAGAATCCCAGGCTCAGGCTTCTACATCAGCCTCACCAAGTAACTGGGACTTTAGGTGTGTTCCAGTGCACCTGTCCTTGTGTTTTTCTTTAATTCTAATATGCGCATAAAAAAGACACATAATACATATGTGTGTGCTTTAAAGAATAATTGAAAGATGGTCACTTGTCCTCAGGTCGAGAAAAAGGGCCTTACTTTTGCCACATGTTCTTCACAGGCTCCAGCTGTCTCACGTCGACCCTGCCTTTATTTCTGTCATTTTCTTCCTTCTGCTTGTAATGCCATCATTTGTGTTCCAAAATTGAGCCTTGCCTGTGACTGGGTTCGGGAATAGCGACATGATGTTAGGAGCTCTTTTATATCTGGGATCTCTCAGCATTGTGATTATGAGGTTTTATGCATGTTATGGCGGTGAGTTTTAATTCATTTTTATTTTATTTATTTTGATTTTTGAGAGAGGGTCTTGCTATGTCACCAGGCTGATTGCAAAGTGGCTAAGCCTCCTAAGTGCTAAAATTACAAGCAGATGTCACCAAGCCCAAGTTAGTGGCACAGTAAAAGACTTTTCTGCATTTGCCTTCGTCCCCTTTTAAATTAGGATCCTAGTAATTCTAAAGTTTTTGGACATTTCTACTTTGATTTCTGGTTCTTAATGCTAAATGAGGTATGAAGTATAAAACTTGTCTGGACTCTAATTTTCTGAGCCGCCCACTTACCAGTTTGATGGCATTTGTTTAGATGAGGCTACATCTTTAAGGCTTCTGTGCTAGGTTAGAAAATCTTCCTTTCTCCAAGGCCGGTCCAAGGGTCTGGTCATGTGATCTCAGCGGTGACATCACACTCTGACCAACCAGGAGCACTGGTGGCTCTTTAGGTGGCGTTTGTTGCTGTGAAAAGCAGAGAAAGCAGCAAGTGCCCTTGTAAAGCACCCCAGAACAGGCCTCCTTCTGTAAAAGCGCCTCAACCCAAATGAGCAAATGCAGACTGCCAAGGCTGTTTCTTCCTTGAGGCAGAAAAAAAGAAAACTGTGATCCAAGGTAAGCAGACTGAGCCCAGCCTGGGACTGAAGCATGCTCCGGGAGCAGGGGATCTGGAGAATTGCAAGCAGTCTGTAGTAGGATTCTAATCACTGCCTGCCCTGTGTTAGGGGCCTGATAATTGCGTCTCTAGCCGGAGACAGACTACAAAGGAGGATGCGGTGGTGCTCATGTTACCTAGTGATGTAATAGGATTCGCTTTTTCCTGCCAGGATGCTGTTGCAGATCTTCATTTTGCCTTAAAGCTGGGGGTGGTGGAGGAGCTCATTTGATATATAATGTAACATCAGAAAGCTATGTGATGCTTTGCAGAATTCACAAAATGCTGTGTTTTTTTTTTTTTGTGTGTGTGTGTGTGGTTTTTTTTTTTTTTTTTTCCTTCCTGAAAGGAGAACTCTGAAAGTAGAGCAAATTCAATGGAAGCATTAACCTGCTTTGAGGAGCCAGTTTCTGGTGGTTTGGTGTCCTGCGTTCATGTCAGCATTTAACTTAGGAATGGAAACAGCTTGATTCAGCTCCCTCCTTCCCACATACTTTCTTTTCTTTCTGCTTGTTTCCTAGCTGGCTTTCCCCTGCCAAGCTCTCCAACATAACAGCTTTCATCTTTATCAGTATGACACTGACATGATAGGAAATGCTGGGTGGTGATTCAGCAGACATCCATTTTATGGCCAGGTACAAGTGAAGATAGGAAAAGGACTTTGGCTTGAGGTTTTAAGATTAACTTGTTCACCTCCTCCACACCACTTCAGTGACTCACCCACCCACGGACGGTGAGGCCTCTGCTGAGTTTTTCCTTTCAAATCTGGGGATTGCTTGTACAAAGTGTGCTGAATTAGGCATTCAATGGACTTGCACAGTTGATACACCAGGTTCAATTTATCTCGTTCATTCAAACTTACGTCATGAGAATGCTAAAGTTGTCTAGCTGAGTTGGGCAAGGGGATGGTGGAGAAAGTCAGCAGAGGCCAACTTGGGCATGTACTGAAGAGGGGTTCATTACCTAAGAGACTGGGTGAAGCCTTGGCCCTGCTGAGATTGGTGCTGCAAATGTGAGATTTGGCTGTGTGAGTTAAATGATGGAATTACTCTGCATTCTCCCTATGTGCATTTATATAGATTTCTCAATGCTCTTTTTACATTTTTAGTTTACTAGCAAAATATTGTTCCATCAGATGATGTTGCCAAAATATTTTGAACAAGTTTATAAGCAATACTTACCATGTGTCAGTACAACTGCTTAGTTTAAATATTCCTTCATCCTTGCCATTTGTTGAATGCATTTTGGTTCATCTGATGTTTACTGACTATCACATATGTGCTAAGAGCAAGAAATGGTGACACATTCTTGTAATACCAGTTTCTCAGGAGGCTAAGATAGGATGATCACGAGTTCTAGGCCTGCCTGGGTAATGTAGCGAGACTTGACTCAAAGGGGAAAAGGACGTGGTGGAGAAGGCTATGGTGAATTCATTGTAGAGTAACTATTGGAGACTGGCTAGTCTGGAAAAGGAAGATAAAGCATATGCACACATAAGGAACTGTAATGGAAAAACTAAATGCCAAGCAGACTAAGAACCATAATTAGTGAGTGCACTCAGATGTTGCTTAGTTGAAGGATTAAGGAAGGACAGTTCATTGCTAAGTTAAGCATTGTTGTTCAAATCTCTACTTGCAAATATTTGACTTTCCAACATACTGTGGAAAAGTTCCTACCAGCCCATTATATTGGAGATCAAAGCATTCTATCTATTGAAGGAAAATTTGTACATTCCAACCAGCTTAACTCTTGAAGAGGCCAGCATTCTTTCTTTCAAGTCTTCAGCCAGGCAAAAGCTACCTCCTAGGATTGAATTACTGCCTTACAAAGTATAAGACGGCTCTTGATGGAACACATTTGCAAAGACCTTGGAGCCTTTCATCTCCCTTCCATGAACTGAAATACCTAAACTGCTCCAAGCTCCTTCCTGTTCTTTGTTCTGTAGATACTTTTTTCTATTACACACCGGCTTCTGTCATTTCTCTCTTTATACTGTCACTGTCCTGAGTCCCTGTCCACTCACAGTGCCTTTAGCTACTTCTCATTTGAGCCTAGACCACAGAAACTGAATATGATGGACATTCCCAGTAGGGGATTGTATTGCTTCATCACCACACCTCAACTGTAGTCATTGGATAGTTTAGGGGGCCATTACAGTTTTTGACTGCCTGATGTACTAATGTCTGTTTGCTATTCCATACAGGGAACAAGTCATACAATGGTGGTGGAATAAGCTCTTCAAATAGAATCATGGACTTCTTGGAGGAGCCAATCCCCGGTGTAGGGACCTATGATGATTTCAACACAATTGATTGGGTGAGAGAGAAGTCTCGAGACCGAGATCGGCACCGAGAGGTAAGGCAGTGCTGGCATTTGAGGAACTGATAGGAAACATGGGGGAGGAAAGGTAAAGAGCTAAATTTGGTCTGTGCTTCCCTTTTTCAGCCCCAGAACTGCTGGCAGTCTAGCTTCTATTGGCAACATAGGGTTTCTTTCTTTCTTATTCTTTTTCTTTCTTCCATTTTTCTTTTTAATTTTTTTTTTTTTTTGAGATAAGTATTCCTCTGTAGCTTAGGCTGGCCTGGAACTTACTTATGTAGTCCACACTGACTTCAAACTCTTGGATTAACAGATGAGAGCTACCATATGTGGCTTCATTTTGTAATGTATTTCTATTTTTGAAGACGTTTTATATATAATTTTCAGCCTTGGTTTTAAAACTTGTGTCTAATGATTTATTTTCCTGTAGAATACTGTTAGAAGGGACATTCACAGCTCTGAAATGGGCTTCACCTAGGCCTCTGCAGAGGTGAAAAGAAATGTGCAAGATTTTCTTCTCCCATCTCATCTCCTTTTTAAGTTCTTTTCTCTTAAAGTGGGGTCTCTAAAACCAAGGAAAGTAAATGGGCTTTTTTCAAAGGAATAAAAAACCCAAATTAGTGTACTAAAGAATATGGGTTCAGCTCCATAAGATTATAGCTCTTGTAAAACCATAAAACAGAAGTAAACTTACGCATTCAGCACCAATGAAACCACAAGACTGATCAAATTCATATCCAAGACATTAATTTAATGTGATAGGTATTTAGGGCCATGGTGTAGGTTATACAAGCTTGACAAAAGAATTTCCCCACCTCTCTTCTCTAAGTACTGATTAATTTTCTCAGAGCTGTCTGCCAAGGTCCTTTAATTCTTTTATTGGTGTTATTATTTGTTATTTTTATTGATACTTATTCAGACTAGCCTGGAACTCACTGGGTAGATAGTCTGGCTAGGACTCTTAATCCTCCTGCCTCAGACTCCTGAGTGCTGAGATTATAGGCATGTACCATCACACATGCCAAGGGTCCTTTGCTATTTTTCTTTTTTCTTCAATGAGACAGGTTCTCCCTATATAGCCCAGGCTAGCCACAAGCTTGTAGAGCTCTTCCTCCCATAATCCCAAGTGCTGAAATTACAGGTGTTTTCTACCATGCTCAGAGCCTTTGCTTTGAACTTGTCCTTTATCATTCAAATTTAGCAATAAACTGTTCCTAGTTTATGTGGGAACAGCAGTGGAGAACTTAACTCACCAACAGTGAAAATGTTGAAGCCCATATACTCTCAGCAAGTGACCCTCTGGCAAGTCACTTCTTAAAGTTCTGCTTGACTCCATATTTAAAATGTATTATTAACAAGACCCCATTCTCTACTGAGTTAATGATTCTTCCTGTCAGAGACAAACAATTTTTTTTTCATTTTTAAGCCTTTTCCAGATTCTGCCAAGTATCCTCACAACCACATGAACCCCAGAGTCAGGTTGTCCTAGGTAGAGGTTTTGAAAAATTCCGTTTGTTTGGGAGGCAGTACTAGTGATTGAATACAGGGCTTTGCAGATGCTAGGAAGTATTCTGTCAGCAAGGTTTGACTTCACTTTTTATTTGGCAACAGACTTGCACTCTTACCCAAGTTGACCTTGAACTTACTTGTGCACAGGCTTAGCCTAAGCCTCCCAGCTTATTTCATTAGTTTTCTTCCTTCCTTCCTTTTCTTTCTTTTTTTTTTGAGGGGGGTGTGTTTCAAGACAGGGTTTCTCAGTAGAACAGCACTGCCTGTCTTGGAACTCACTCTCTAGACCAGGCTGGCCTTGAACTCACAGAGATCCACCTGCCTCTACCTCCCGAGTGCTGGGATTGAAGGTGTGCACCACCACACTAGGCTCAGTTTTCTTTCTTTCTTTCTTTCTTTTTTTTTTTTTTAAATCTTGTAATTAGTATAGTCTCTGTCTCTCTGTGTGTACACACACGCACACACACATGCACACACACAGGCCACTGGGCCATCTTGTTGACCTTCAAAATACATTTTAAAGTTCCTTTTGAAATTTTAAAATTTGTTGTTGTTTGTGATGTTTCTATAATTGAAAGGGGAATAAATCAATTTTGAGTATAATAAATAGTGGTAAAAAGAAGGGGAAGTAGCAGTAGCAACGCTGGCAAGATAACGGTTTTGAAAATATGGACATGGGCCAGTCAGTTGGTTAAGTGCACACAAGTACCTGTTGCCAAGTCTGATGGTCTGAGTCTGATCTCTGGAACCCACACAGCAGAAGGAGAGAACAGACTTCAGCAAGTTGTCTTCTGACCTTCACACACACACACACACACACACACACACACACACACACACACTATAAAAAATAAAGCTCAAGTGAAACAAAATAAACATATGAACACCGTGGATTTCAGTTGACAAGGCTAATACCTAAACAGTCAAACTTTGTGTTTATCCTGATGCCATCAGATACAGTTGCTGGTTTCTGAAATTGAAGGAGACACATCACCAGTATCACTTAGTACCTGTAATCACGGTACCATCAAGGTTTTGTGCCATCAAGGTTTGGGCATTTCCTGACTGAATCACAACCACAGATAGTAGACCTCAAGTTGTCAGTGAGATCTGCTGTCGTTTATTTATTCTTTGCAAAACAGTCAAGCTATTTGCTGTGAATCAGCTCTCCTTGAGACAGCTATTATCCAGGGCAGAAAAAGACCCCTGCAATGCACAAGCCAGGTTGATGGTATTAAGAAATCAGTGACTAAGTGTGGGTGTATCTTGGACATTACAGTAAGTTGGTAGAGTTCAATAAATCACAGCATTCTTGGTAAATTGGTTCAATTAAATAATTCTCAATTGTAATCTATTCCCAGATAATTTGTATCTTTCTGCTGAATGGTTTTTAGATGGAGGGAAGATATGTATAGAGTATACCAATATTATTTTTTTTCCCCAGATTACCAATAAAAGCAAGGAGTCAACATGGGCCTTGATTCACAGTGTGAGCGATGCGTTTTCTGGCTGGTTGTTGATGCTCCTTATTGGGCTTTTATCAGGTATGGTAATCAACAGTAGTTTTGAAAATTAATCTCCTAGAACTGTGATGTACCCCTCCTGAATTGAGTCAAATGCTGTGTTCTCCCATCTGAAATGGATTGCTGGTGAATCTTTTGGAAGTGCAATGTCCCCTCTGTAAATGAGTTCTAATACCTGTATCCCTTTCCTTAAATCAAAGAAGAAATACATCTAAGCCCAGTTTGTGTGCTGTAAGACATCATGACCATTCTAAGGTGGAAGCCAGCACAGTGGCTCCCTGCTCTACTGGGAAAGCACTTTCATTGGAGGCACAGGTTTTCGGCCCATTCTCTGTGGGGTTTACAAGATGCAGCGATAACTTCCTGAGACATTTTGTAGCAGTTTTTGTTCTTTTTTGCAGCTCTGGGAATAAGACCCAAGAGTAATGTACGTGCTAGTCAAGCTTTCAACCACTTTGAGTCACTCCCCCAGCCCTTGTTCTTTTTAAAACAGGGTCTCATTATTTAGCCCAGGCTGGTTTTGAACTCAATATATAATCCAGGCTGGAAGGAACTGTGATCCGTTGCCTCACTCTCTTCAGTGGTATAAGATGTAGCCCCTCCTTTCAGGAACTTATCACACTCTTTCCTGGTTTCTGAGGGGCATTACGGTGGCACATTTTCCTATAAGCGCCATCAACTTTGTCTAGCCACTCCAAACACTGTAGGTTGAGTATCCCTTATCGAAAGTGCTGGTGAAAGAACTCAGTGGGTAAAGGTGCTTGCCACCAAGCTTGACAGCCCCAGTTTGATTCCCAGGACTACGTGATGGAGGGAGAAAACCAAATCATCAACAAATTATCCTCTGACCATCACACAGATTATCCTCTGAGCTTCATATGTACTCACCATGGTTAAACACACACACACACACACACACACACACACACACACACACACACACACAGGGGGCACATGTACACTTACACTGAATAAATAACGATTGAAAAAATTGTTAAAAAAATGATTGAAGCCAGAAATATTTGAAATATTAGCATGTTACATAATGAAATATTTGGGGAAAAGGACCCAAATCTAAACACAAAATTTGCTTGTTTTATATATACATATATATGTATATAATACATATATCAAGTACATCTATAAGCACCATGTATATGTGTGTATACATACATGCATACATATATATACATAGCTTGAAGGTAGTTTTATATATTTTAAGTTCACTTGGAGTTTTGCTATTTTCAAAGAGTGTCTCATTTGACTTAATGAGACCCAGGCTGGCCTCAAACTCACTCCTGTCTCGGCCTCCTAGGTCCAGATAGTAGGCTTTAGTCACTGCACACCTTTCCATCTGTATTTTGACTAAAGTCCTATCACATGAGGCCAGCTGTAGAATTGTCTACACATGACAATGCTTACAAAGTTAAGGACCATAGAACATTTTAGGTTAGGGATGCTCAACTTATATACCATATATGAATGTATACTTGCTCTGCAAATACAGCTTACAGCAAGTTCCAATGCCAAGTTCCCCTCCTATGTGGGAAGCAGAGAGCCAGGGACACCAGGCGGAGAGGTCAAAGAATGTGCCCTTGTAGCATTAAAGACGGTGCCTAGGAAGTTCTGGGGGCGGGGTGTTGCTCTACAAGCCTGACAATCTTAGTTTGATCCCTGAAACCCATGGTGGAAGGAGAGAGCCATCTCCCAAGTCACCCTTTGACCTCCATGTGTGAGTCTGCATGCACTTACATGTGTGCGCTCACATAAATAATACCTAAACTAATTTTTTTAAGGAATTACTCACACTAAAAGGTTGGCAGTCTTGTCTTTTTCATTAAAGGAGTCAGATAATCCTAACTATTTTAGGAGTCATGCATTAAATGATCTCCGTAGTGCCCACTCCACTCTGCTGCTGTTGCTGTGGCACAAAAGCAGCTGTGCACCACAGGGAAAGAACTGCGTCTGGCTGCAAATTGAGACATCTTTAGTAACAGACATAGCAGGTGAGCAAGATTTGGCCCTCATGTTGTGGTTTGCCAGCCCTTAGTTGAGAGTATTCAACTGTGCCTTCTGGCTCTTCCAGGAGAGAGAACACAGTTTGGAGCTGGTTAATAATAGATTGGGTAGTCTGTAATGCCAAATATTGTAGCAAATCAAAGGAAGGGATATAGAGGAGAAAAGGTCAAAAATCTGGTGATTAGGAACATGTTAGTGTTTTCAAAGAAACTTCAGTTGTATGTTGGGAGCCAGATTTCAAGTTTTGATAGTCACTGGAAAGAAAGGAAGAACAAACCCTTGAAATGGTAGGCAAGGATAAGAGACAACACTCTCTTCTTCTGGATAGGGAAGCTTAATAAAACTTGCAGCCATGGCGCACACCTTTAATCCCAGCACTCGGGAGGCAGAGCCAGGCGGATCTCTGTGAGTTCGAGGCCAGCCTGGTCTACAGAGTGAGTCCCAGGAAAGGCGCAAAGGTACACAGAGAAACCCTGTCTCAGAAAAAAAAAAACACACAAAAAAACCAAACTTGTAGCCAGAGAAGAAAGCAGCATTTGTGGGAAGGGGGAGATGTAGAAGTATAAGGGAAGACAGGACTGGAGATAGCTGCTATGTCAAATATAAAATGCAACAACCAGAACATAGAGCAAAAGAAGTATAAGGAAGGCCTTGTTAATTTTGTGAACCCAGGCAGTAAATGCAATAAAAGTTGGATCACAAGTCGAGGGACTGGAGTTGCCAAAAATAGCTGTCAGAAAATGCTGGATTTGACTAGGGCATTCAAGTAGGTGGTAACACTTTCCACACTTACCAAAACATACACATAACATGGCCTTTCTCACCTGACTGAATGTAGGGGCAATAGCCTCAACTCTTTAATGTGTTTCTTGTCTTTAGGTGGTCAGTGGCTGTTTTTTTTCCCTCTTATACACACGAGGTATTTTGTTTTTAAACATTGGAGAGCCATAACAGAAACAGTGTGTCTGAATGGAACAGTCTGGGAATTCAGGGGCTATTTTAGAACACCTTTACCGTTTTTCTAAGGCATAATTCTGGGCCATTTAATTTCTCTTTTCCAGAGTTTCTTCATTTGACTGACACGTGACAGCCAGAAGTAAAGTACTTTAACTGTCTTATCTCTTACCAGTTTAGCAGTCTTACTATTTATGGTCCCAATATTTGCTTTGTTTATTTTCTCATTTTCTTTGGTGGATGTTCTATATGGGGTCACTCCTTTTTACTGAACCATTGCAGTGGCTTCATATCCTAGGTTCAGTAGGCATCCAAAGTTCCTCGAGTTCTGTCCAGCCTTCTTTGCACACAACACTCTCTACTGCTATCCATTTAATGTCCTTAGCCAACAATGTCTTCCAGCCATTGTGCAAGTTCTTCCTGTCCATGGCGCAAAACCCTACTGTCCAGGATTAGCCCATCACCCATAATCTTCATCAGCTTTTCTCCAGAGCCTTTGCAAATAAATAGTATGGAAGATTCTTCAGTGTGTGCAATTTCTATTCACTAAACCTGATGTATATAGGGAGAGTCACACAATCTTTTTGTTTTAGCTGTTATTTTTGGTTTGAGATGGAGTCTCATTGTTTATTCCTAGCTGGCATGCTAAGTAGACCAGGCTGGCCTTGAACTATCAGTACTGGGATTAAAAGCCTGTGGCACTGTACCTAGCAAGTCACATAATCTTAAACAAATTACTTCCTTTGTAGAGTGTTATTCCTAAACCACACCAAAGCAGTCCCTTCATTGTGTCAAGTGAGTTTTAAAACCAAACTCCTCTCTCTCCTCCAAATATTTTGCTTTCTCCATAGTTCCTACCAGTATACATATTTCACAGATACTGATGTTTATTTTTACTTTTAATCCTGTGTATGTGTTTGTGTCTGTGTGTGAGTGCAGGTGCCCTTGGAGGCCAGAAGCATTTCTAGAACTGGAGTTATAAGCAGTTGTGAGCTACCCAATGTGGGTGCTGGGAATTGAACTCAGATCCTCTGCAAGAATAGTATGTGCTCTTAAGCATCTCTTCAGCCCAACACTGGTGTTAATGTAGAGATAGTAAGTGGGATATCAAGCAAGTCACCAATCAGACGTTCCAGGTAGACTAGGAATAGGAGATATAGACTAGGAATAGGAAGTATGTATTTACCTGTCGTTTCAATTCCTTTCCTCTCACTTTGGCTGATAAGGCTTGTTCTAATTACCAAAGACAGAGTTTCAGAAGTGGAATTTAACTTTGGCTTTCTATTTCTTCCCCACTAAATCAGGTTCCCTAGCAGGCCTGATAGATATCTCTGCTCACTGGATGACAGACTTAAAAGAAGGGATATGCACAGGGGGATTCTGGTTTAACCATGAGCACTGTTGTTGGAATTCTGAGCATGTCACGTTTGAAGACAGAGACAAGTGTCCAGAGTGGAATAGCTGGTCCCAGCTTATCATCAGTACAGATCAGGTAATGTGTAGTACTAATTTCGGTACCTCTGATTCTTATCCTTTATTTATTGATTTATTTCATTTTTGTACTGTACTCCTAGAAATTATGAAATCATCCCCTATTTTCTTTCATGGAAAAGAAAGTGGAGCCAGCTTCTTATTTTGTGGTTAAAGTACTATTTATAGCTCTTATGACATGTTGGAAGCATTTTCTGCTTATATTTAAAAGCTTGGTTTGTTTTAAAGAAGTCTTATATTTCTTCTACTTCTTAGCTGTTAGTACATAGTATAGCTAAAATAACCATTCTCTAATGATTTCAATAGAAATGTCAGAGGCAGACAACAGGTAAGATGTAATTTCTAACAAAAGATTTTGAAATGATTTAAAATATGTTTATCATATAGAAACACAAAGCAGTTTGTCCCTGACTAAGCACTGAATTAAAACAATCAAAGGTGTGATGTTTTGTGTCAAAATAACAGAGGTCTAGGAGTAAAACTGCCCAGTCTCTCCTGCAGTTGTATCAGTATTTTCCTTGTTGTCTAAGCAAGTATTTTTCAATACATAATAATTTTGTGTTTCAACTCTTTTCCTATCTTTCAGTACTTTGTTATATATCAGATCTCTCCCACTGAAAAAGCACACACAAAACAGAAGTGTTTTAGCTACTCGGCTCACCAGTAGAAATGGGTACACCTTGAACTCCCTCCCTATGCGTCGATTCTGTTGGTGAAGTAGAAATAAGACCAGAATACATGATTGTACTCTTAAAGTTTATCTTTCATCTGATTGCACAGAGGTAAAGAGTAGAGTGGAGGTCACTAGAAGCTGAGAAGGGAAGGGGACAGAGAGAAGTTGTGTAATAAACAGTAAATAGAAAGGAGGAAGAAATTCTGCATTCAAACAGCAACCTTACTGTAACTGTACTTTTCAACAACTGATTGAGGTGCTGAGTATTGGGCCCCATAAATGTGAGTGAAGTACATCCCTTCTTACATATTTTATAAAGCAGTAGAGGAAGTTAGAAGACTTCAAACAAAGATATATGAAATATTTAAGTAAGTAGAACTGTTAATTATTCTGATTTGATCACTATACATTATATATACATGTATCAAAGTAACATACTACCTTATAAGCATGTATAATCATGAAAAATGAATTAAAACATTTTAAAATTTTATTATTTACTTTGTTCACAAAAATTTGAGGTAGCACACACACACAGACACACACAAGTCAATTGAAAAAGGATAGGAAAATAAAGTCAGAAATAAGAGATTTTACATCTATATATAACTATATACATTGGCTTGGGGAACGGGGTTTTATGTGTATTGTACTGGCTAGTTTTATGTCAAGTTGATACAAGCTAAAGTCAGCAGAGAGGAGGGAGCTTCAGTTGAGAAAATGCCTCCATGAGATCCAGCTATAGAAAATTAAAAAAAAAAAACGATCCAGCTATAGGGCATTTTCTTAAGTAGTGATCGATGGGGGAGGGCCCAGCCCATTGTGGGTGGTGCCATCCCTGGGCTGCTTCCTGGGTTCTATAAGAAAGCAGGCTGAGCAATCGATGTGGAGCAATCCAGTAAGCAGCTCCCCTCCATGGCCTCTGCATCAGCTCCTGCCTCCAGGTTGCTGCCCTGTTTTGAGTTCCTGTCCTGACTTCCTTCAGTGATGAACAATTCTGTGAAAGTGTAAGCTAAATAAACCCTTTCCTCCCAAATTTGCTCTTTGGTCATGGTGTTTCATCAGCACAGTAGTAACCCTAGCTAAGACATGTATGTTTCTCAAACTGCAGTGTAGTTCAATTACAGGATGAATGTTACAGACCTTCCTAGAACACTTACTTTTTCTGAATATTTGGAATATTTTTAAATATAAACAATGATTTAAAATTTTTATTTATTTATTTATTTTAGGTGTGTGAGTGTTTTGCCTGCATGTGTGTATGTGTACCATGTGTGTGCCAGGTGCTCACAGAGGTCATCAGAGTGCTTTGGATTCCTTGGAACTGGAATTACAGATGGTTGTAAGGTACCATGTAGGTCCTGGGAATAAAACCTTGGTCCTCTAAAAGAACAACAAGTGCTTGTAACCACTGAACCATCTTTATAGCTCCATAAACAATGATTTTAAAATGGAGTGTAAATTTTTCTTCTTTTCCTTGTGTAATTCAAGATTAAACTCTGGGCCTTGAATATGCTAGACAAGTACTCTACAACTGAGTTACATCTCCTGTATTTTACATATTTTTATTGTAAAAGCCAGGCTTGGTGGCACACACTGGTAACCCCAGTACTTGGAAAGTACAGGCAGAAGGATCAGGAGTGCAGAGTCATTCTTGGGTACATTTTTGAGCAGCCTGGGCTATATGAGACCTTGTCTCAAAAAAATTTTTAAAAATTTAAGATTACATTTAATCAGTGTGTGTGTATCTCTCTCTCTCTCTCTCTCTCTCTCTCTCTCTCTCTCTCTCTCTCTCTGTGTGTGTGTGTGTGTGTGTGTGTGTGTGTGTGTGTGTGTGTGTGTGTTTGAGCTCACACGTATGCATGTGTGCATGCCCCAGCACATACGCGGAGATCAGAGGCCAGATTTTAGGAGTCAATTCTTTTCTTCTACCATGTAGATCCCAGGGATTGAACCTATGCTGTCAGTCTTTACTGACTGAGCCATCTTGCTGACCCTGAAACACCGTTACAGTTTTTTTGAGCTGGGTATGGTGGCTCGTGCCTATAATCCTAGTATTTGGAAGTTAGTGGCAGGAGGGTCACTGCAAATTCAAGGCTAGCTTAGTCTTATATGTTGAGTTCCAGGCCAGTTAAGGGTACGTACATAGTAAGACTTGTCTCAAGAAAATAATAAATACATAAACAAACAATTAAAATTATTTTGAGATAGGAGCTTAATAAGTTAAGTTGCCTTGCTGGCCTCAGATTTGTGATTTTCTTCCTCAGCTTCCGGGGGAGCTCCGTGGATTTTAATTTGCTTGAAACAAAGTCTCACTGTCTTGCCTAGTCTAGTCTAGAACTCCCAGGAATTCTATCTTAGCCTCCCAAATACTGGCTTTAGAAGTTTGAGCTGTCATACCCTTCTCTGTATTTTGTTTTGTTTTAAGAAAGAAACAATGTTTCTGTTTTACGTCCATTCTCAAGAGATGTGTGTGTGTGTGTGTGTGTGTGTGTGTGTGTGTGTGTGTGTGTGTGTGTGAGAGAGAGAGAGAGAGAGAGAGAGAGAGAGAGAGAGAGAGAGAATGAATATGAATGTGTATGTTTTCCTTGCTTTAGAAGAAGGACTTGACTTTAGTTTTTTAGCCATTTTAATTATTTTTATATTTTGTGTATGAGTGTTTTGTCTACATGTGTGTATGTGCAGCAGGTGTGTGCTTGGTACCCACAGAGGACAGAAGAAGACATCGGATCCCCTGACCTTGGAGTTACAGATGACTGAGAGGACTGGGAGTTGAACCCAGGCCCTCTGCATGAGCACCAAGTACTAACCACTGAGCCATCTCTCCAGTTCTAGGAAGCACTTAAAAATAAATGTATATACTTAACTGTGTATATGTGTATGTATGTGGGAATATGTTTGCCATGGCACTTGTGTGGAGGTCAGAGGACAGTTTGCAGGAGCTGGTTCTTTCGTTTTATCACCTGTTCTGGAATTTGAACTCAGGTTTTCAGGCTTGATAGTACGTACCTTTAACCACTGAGCCATCCTGCCAGCCACATATTTTTAAGGCAGTTACATAATCAAAATGTTATATTCTTCATCCCACCTCCCCGTATGGTTAACACTTTGCATAACAATAGTACAGGAAATTGATGTATCTGAAGTCCATAGAACTTATTTCCCTGTTTTGGTTGATGTGTTTTTGCTTTTGTGGTACTGAAGGTTGAGCCTAGGGCCTTGAATATGCTAGATGAACTCTCTACCCATGACCAACATCACCAGCCCATTGCATTTTTCTAGCTGTATATAAAATGATAGCCCAAGGCAGGAGGGAGAGAGCTCTGTAGTTTTATGATGATGTAAGATGGCTCCCTCATGCTGCCCCTGTACAACTAGCCCTTTATTATGGGTCTGTTCCAGCAGTTCCTTGTAAAGCAGAGCTTGAGATTTGCTCACACAACAGATTAGTCTGGCTCTTTTTATGAATGAAATCATTGCCTGGGGCAATAGTCTGTGAAGCTTTCAGAAGCCTTCTCTTGCCAACAGTTTGGCCTCTTGATCTCTGGCCAGTTTCTGTTGCTTTCCCTTTCACTTTGTTTCCTACCTCTGGAGTCCACTTGCTTACAAACTACTCTTAAAGGACAAAGAAATAATTGTTTTCTGAGGACTTAAGATCAAATTCACAACTAAAAACTATAGACTCCTGATTCTTCTTGCCTAGGCCTTTAAATTCTCATAGTGTTTTATGTTTTGCAAAGTCAGAAGTCCATTAAGCTTTGTATCTGTGTCATCTGATGTATAACCCCTGGTGTTTAGTATTCCTTTCTGGTAAAGCATCACTATTTTCCAGCCCTTTAATGTGAATTGTTGTGCGGTATTAGTTTAAGATGTGTTACATTCATTTATGCTGTGGAATGTTTGTTTAATGATGGAAAGATATGTTGCATACTTTTATGTTGCATTTGTTTAACTCTGTAAAGCTGTGTTACTTTGCCTGTTTAAAACACTTGATTGTTCTAATAAAGAGTTGAACAGCCAATAGCTAGGCAGGAGAGAGGGACAGGCAGGCTGACAGGCAGAATAAATAAGAGGAAAAATCTAGGCCTGGCTAGCTCAGTTGGTAGAACATGAGATGCTTAATCTCAGGATCATGGTTTCGAACCCCATGTTGGGTGCCAAAATGTAGGGTTTTTTTTTTTTTTAACTCTTTTGAGGTCCTTCTACCCAGCGCCCAAATAAATACATGGAAACTTATTCTTACTTATGAAAGCCCGGCCTTAGCTTGGCTTGTTTCTGGCCAGCTTTTCTAACTTAAATTATCCCATTTCTCTTTAACTAGGTTTTGCCTCTGGGCTTTTTACCTTTCTTTATTCTATATATCTTTCTTTCCTTCTTACTCCATGGCTGGCTGTGTAGCTGGGTAGCTGGCCCCTGGCATCCTCCTCTCCTCCTTTTCTCACTCCTTGCTTTTCTTCTCTCTTGCCTATATTTTCCCTTCTCTTTATTCTCTTTGTCTGACAGCCCCGCCTATCCTTTCTCCTGCCTAGCTATTGGCTGTTTAACTCCTTATTAGACCAATCAGGTGGTTTAGAGAGGCAAAGTAACACAGCTTCATGGAGTTAAACAAATGTAACATAAAAGAATGCAACACATCTTTGCATTATTAAACAAGTATTCCACAGCATAAACAAATCTTAACATATCTTAAACTAATATCCCACAACAATTAATCATTTTTAGTGCTCAGAACTAAATTTTCTAGATGTCACAGTTCATTATCATACATACATACATATCAAAAGTATATTCTGTCTGTATGAAGATAATTATTCCCTTTTTTATTCTTTGGAGAATCTGGAATTATCAGGGTCAGATAGTTTCTACTCACATACGTTTTTCTGTGTCTGTTGTAACAATTTTCTCTAAGATGTAATCATTAAATGTAGAATATTAGTCTATAGTGATGGTTACTAGGGCAGGGAGGAGTAGGAAATGAGAAGGCAGCCAAAGGTATAAATTGGCAATTAGGTAGGATGGATAAATTTAGAGATCTAATGTACCACATGAGAACTGTAGTTAACACTGAAAATGTACCATTCATACAAAGAAACATAATTATGGAGGATGAATGTTTTATAAATCTCTATGACATTATATATATATATATATATATATATATATATATATATAAAATTTATATATATAAATAAACATCAAGGCCTGGGGCTCAAGAGATGGCTCAGTTGTTAAGAGTGCTTGGTGCTCTTCTAGAGGACTAAAGTTTGATTCTCATCACCCGCAGCCAGTAGCTCACAACTGTCTGTAACTCTAGCACCAGGGAATCTAACATGGTCTGTGAGCACACACACACACACACACACACACACACACACACACAGTTTTTAAAAATAAAATAAAACATGAAGACTAGAGCTGGACATGTTAGCTCATACCTAGAATTCTAGCACTTGGGAAGTGGAGGCTGGAGAATTAACAGTCCATTAGGTGCCCTCTGCTACCTAATGTGTTCAAGACTAACATGGGCTATATAAGATGTCTCAAAGCAACAATAACAACTCAAATAAATAAAAAACACCAAGGCTTGGAGTATAGCTCAGTGGTAGAGCATGTGTTTTAGCATGCATGAGACCCAGGATTAAATCTCCAGAATAAAAAACTGAAACAAAATGAACCTCCCCCCAAATATCATGCTACTTGCCCTAAACATACACAGTAAGCAATTATAAAGAAATGAAACAATGCTTAGGAATTTTAGTTACCACAATCTGTGAGAATTTAACACCAAGTTAGGTAAGGGATAGGAATGTTGAAGCTTGTCATTACTTCACATATGTAGTCAAGGTTCACCCAACCCAGAAACTGGGAAGGCCATTGTAACTCTTGTTAAAAACTTGACATAGCATCATATGTATTTGATGGCAAAACTGACAAAAACACTAACAAAAGGTAAATTGTAACCAGGTATGGTTTCAGCGTGTAATCCCAGTACTTGGGAGGCAGAGGTATGAGGATTGCTGCAAGTTGGAGTCCAGACAGGGCTGTATATCAAGAGCCTGCATCAAAAGCTAAATGAGCACAAAGCTACACAGAGAAACCCTGTCTTGAAAAAAAACAAAAAAACAAAACAAAACAAAAGCTAAATGAGCCTTCTCTTGCCAAGAATTTGGCCTCCTGGTCTATGCCTCTGGCAGCTGGATCTCTGCGAGCTTGAGGCCAGCCTGGTTTACATAGCAAGTTCCAGGCCAACCATAGCTACATAGTGAGATATTCTCTCACTATGTTTTTCAGTTTTCCTTTCCAGCATGTCGACTCTTAGAATCCTTTGAGAGTTTCCTCTGATTGCAGCAAGGCATGTGATTTTCAGTACCAAGAGTGCCTAATGGTGTTTCAGTCGTTTCTCTCATGAATGGCCTGCAAAGAGATAATTAAGCAATTTACTGTTGTCCTTTTTCTTCCCAATCTACTCTCCTAGCACAATGTCACTGAAAAGAGCTCCATTCCCCACCCGGCTGTCTACACTCAAACAGCGTCTGTCCTTTTGTTCTGTTCCAGGGAGCCTTTGCCTACATAGTCAATTATTTCATGTATGTCCTCTGGGCTCTCCTGTTTGCTTTCCTTGCCGTGTCTCTTGTCAAAGCGTTTGCACCTTATGCCTGTGGCTCTGGAATCCCTGAGGTAAGTACAGTATGAACCAATTTTTGCCCAAATGTTCTGTATTCCTGCATATACTACAGCTTGGTGACTATCAATCAGGGTCAGAGGCAGAGAATCTCTAAACTCCATCTAGATTTTCCTTTAAGTCTCCTTTCAGCATGGGTCACAGGATTTGGGCTCGAAGTGGGGAGATGGAGGCCCGTTCCTACCTATTTGGGGCTTAGATTGTTTTACTCGAGCAACTACAAGTAATAGTCACGATGTTCTTTGGCAGGCACTCCAGGCTGTACCTATTCTTTCAAGCTCTTTCTTGAACATTGACCTTATTCTCAGAACATTTTATTACCAGAAGAAATACCTGTTCCTCCTCAGCTGTTCCTGCTTCTCCATCCACACACACTCATCCTTACAATAGACTCTTTTTAGCTGCCACAGGGCCCTTTACTCCCCCAAAGTCCATGGAAGTTGGCAGAATACGTCTGGCTTTCCTAGGTATCTCCTATATTGAGATCTCTCTTGAGACGTGTGTGTGTGTGTGTGTGTGTGTGTGTGTGTGTGTGTGTGTGTATGTGTGTGTGTCCCTTGTTGAGGAGTTATATAGTTCTTGTAAGGGGGTGTAGATTTTAGCTGTTTGGCTTTGTTTATTTACTTAATCTGTATTCAATCTCTCTGTGTTTGGCCTGCAGATAAAAACTATCCTGAGTGGTTTCATTATTAGGGGTTATTTGGGTAAGTGGACCCTGGTCATCAAAACTATCACTCTGGTGCTGGCAGTGTCATCTGGCTTGAGCCTGGGCAAAGAGGGCCCTCTAGTGCACGTGGCCTGCTGCTGTGGGAACATCCTGTGCCATTGCTTCAACAAATACAGGAAGAATGAAGCCAAACGCAGAGAGGTAATGCCACGTGGCCTTACTGGTTTGTTTTCACTCGTGAGCAGAACTACTGTGAATTCAAGTAGCTTTTGGTTCAGCAAGTTCAGTTCTAGGAGTCTGTCTTACAGCCATCCTAGCATGGGTATATGCACAGGTCTCTAGGGATAGCCAACACAGACATGAATATTGTAAAAGTTAAATTGTAAAAAGTTATTGTAAAAAGTAAAATTAGCAAAATGTCCATCAAATAGGGGCTCAATTTTTTTTTAAAAAAACGTATTCTGCTGTATAATAGAAAACTGTACAACCATTTAAAAGAATGAGATGACCCTAAATACAATGACATGGACTGCATGCTAGTTTGTGACTGCTGTTTGTGGGATAACTTGAATACATTTTTTAAAAAAAGTATGTCTATGCACTTATGAAGAAAATATCTAGGGCTTACCCTGCAAACCTTTGGTCCCCAAGAGCCCATTTTTAAAAAAGTGGTACATACTTATAATCCCAGTGCTAGGGAGGGACAGGCAGATCTTTGGGTCTCATTGGCCAGCCAGCCTTGTCTGCTTGGCTGGTACCAGGCCAATGAGAGAGACACTGTCTCAAAAACCAAAGTGGACAGTGCCTGAGGAACAACGCTTGAGGTTGACCTCTGGCCTCCCTTGCACATACTTGCATCTCTACCTACACTTGTATGTCTGCATATATGAAAGTGAACACACAAAATCCCAAAATAGCTGAAAAGAATTTTATTCTAAACTGTAAAAACGCATGCACTTATGTTGGGTGGGAGAATAAGGCAGTAGGAAAGGAGAAGTAAGGACTTGAATTCTTATTATATTTTATGTGTTACTTCTTAAAAAGAAGGCATAGAAAATACTAGACTTTGAGGGACTTGCTGTGGAAGAGTAAATATAAACAGATTCTCCATCTTTTGTTGCTATTAAATGCCACACTTGAATTAGTTCCTCCCTGTGTTAGACCTCTCTCTGCCTGCCTCTTGCTTCAACACATCTAAATGATTTCCAGTGTAGCATCACTGTATGTTTTAGTTAGGGTTGCTATTGCCATGAAAAAACACTATGACCCCAGCAACTCTTATAAAGGAAAACATTTAATTGGGGCTGGCTTACAGTTTCAGGCGTACAGTCCATTAGCCTCATAGCAGGAAGCATGGAGGCATGCAGGCAGACGTGGTGCTGGAGAAGGATCTGAGAGTTCTACATCTTGCAGGCAACAGGAAGTGAAATGAGTGTCAAACTGAGTGAACCTTGAGCAAAGAGCCCTCAAAGCCTGCTCCCGCAGTGGCACACTTCCTCTAACAAGGCCACACCTACTCCAACAAAGCCACACCTCCTAATAGTGCCACTCCCTTTGGCACCACACTGTGAGCATACTCAAATACATCCAGTTGTTAATGTTTACTATTTTAAGGAGGAAGAATATTTTTTTCTTTTTAATTTTTTTGTTAAAAAAAATTTTAACTAATTTTTTGTTCATTTATTTTACATACTGACTACAGTTTCCCCTCCCTCCTCTCTTCCTGTTCTCTCCCCCACCTCCCTTCTACCCCCCTATCCACTGAGGAGGAGGAATATTTTTAAAAATTGTCCTAAGTCATTGGTTACTTTCATCTTGCTATAATTAAGGACCTAAGGAAGCAGTGGTTCTTGTTTTCTTTTCTTTGAGTGGCCTAAAAGTCACAGACGGAATAGGTCAAGGCCCAGATCATTTCATTAAAAAGGACCTCTTATAGAACTGGAATCTAGTGGTGTCTCCTGAAAAGAACAACAACAGCAAAAAGATTAGGCAGAGACTCTGGAAACTGAAAATGCTGAGGTTTTAAGTGTGGAATAAAGTTTCCATTAAATGGGGAAAATAATGACCATTAAGTGGGGAAAAGTTCCTGGGACAGTCAGAAAGGAGAGGAAAATAAGCTGGAGGGACAGAGGGGCATGCGAGTAGCTTGTCATGTGGTGGAAGGACACAGAAGCTGTGTGAAATACAGGAATAATCTGAAGGGCAAGAATAAGTGTTGTTGTTGCTGCCTTTCTATGGATGGAGTTGAGTTTGAAACTAGATTCCTTATAACAGTTGAAATGTTTGTCTGAACTTGCCAGACATGTGTCTGCTTGGACTCTTCTGACCATCTGGATGTCAGTCTGTTTTCTATAACTTAGATAGCCCACTCTTTCTTCTGTCTGCTGGGGCTTAGCCCCAGGGCCTTGTAAAACTTATCTTGTTCTCAGTAGCAGCACAGCATGTTTGTGACCAGTGGCCTTATCACAGTGAGCAGATGGGTAGAAGTAAAGCAGAGCTGCTGCGTGGGAGGGGTGTGGAGATTCCATTCTCAAATATAAAACTCGAGTTTCCCCCCTCCGATTTCATCCTAAACATCCCCAGTGAAATCCCCTTTTATGGGTTGAATTTTTGGCTTCCCTGTCCTTCTCAAATGACAGCCTTTTGAGCTCTGACTTTCCCAAGCCCTCACGGTTAGCACCAGAGATTTTTCTCTTTCCCCTCCTTAATTTCCCCAGATAATCTACCAGTCCTGAAGAAACCTGCCCACATATTTTGCCAAGAAATATTTCATTCTTCAAAATTCTTCCCTTTGTTTAATTTTTTTTTTACTATATGCCTCTAAATCATCTCTTGCTGCAGCTACTAGTATGCAAGGAAATGACGTGTTCCTATGAATTCTAGTCTGTTTGCCACAAGTATGTTTTCTGCACAGTTTACATGCCTACACTTCCCACACAAGGCAGTCCTCTGCAAACACCACTGCAAACTCTCTTTCCTGGTGATGCTTTATTCTCTTCCCTTTCCTTGCTGTCTGTCTTCTTGACCTTTAAAAATCTAGTCTCTCTGTTTGTATTTCTAGAGGCCGTTGAGACTGTAACAGACTAGAGGGTGCAGGCAATTCTAAACTGTAACTTCACTTTTATATCATTAGAGCCTTCCGTAATGTCTCATTAAAATGTTTCCTAACATGTGCTAGGGAGAAAGCCCATGAGGCCTCAACCCTGCACAAAGAACTACATGCAAATCAGGAATGCTGAGAGTGGGAGAAATAGGCTTTCCTAGGGAAGAGCACACCCATTATTTGTTCAATATCAAATAGGCAGCTCTGAGAACATACATACAAGTAACATTATACAGACTGAGCAGGCTATGCTTAGGAATACATATATGTATATCATATATGCATGTAATAAGAATTAGTGAAAAAAGAGGCCATAATTTTGAAGGAGAGCAAGGAAGAGTATATGGGAGAGTTTGGAGAAAGGAAATAGAAGGAGGAAATGATGTAATTATAATTTCAAAAAATAAAAGAAACAAAAAAGTATGCAGGTGAAACACCGCACTGCAAAGTACATTATCTGGGTTTCCAAACTCAAGTTCAGTTGCTGCACCAGGAGGGCTGACAGTCGGAGCCCAATTTAGAATTAAGCACATGCCTCAATCACAAAGTAAAGGCCTTTTTTGTTCAAGCATATGAACCATATATGTATTCAACATCTAGCATACAGTATTTGCTCTCCAAGTAAACAGAAATTGAACCTTACTTTTTATGATATAGAACATGTAAAATTAGTTTTACCCTCTTTTTAAGATTTTAATTATAATGTAATTACATCACTTCTCCCCTTCCCTTTCCTTCCTCCAACTTCTCCCATATGACCTACTCACTCCTCAAATTGATGGTATATTTTTCTTTGATTATTGTTGTTATAAATACACACACAAATATTTAAATATAATCTGCAGAATCTGTTAAATGTTGCTTGTATGAAAGTGGTCAGCTGTGTAAAGTTATTATTTTTTAAAAATTCTTAGTGACTATGAACATTCCTTTAAAAATGTGATTGAATGTAAGAGAGCCATATTATTCAATTGCTGATTTTGCATTTTGGATTGTAGGTCTTATCAGCTGCAGCAGCTGCTGGTGTATCTGTAGCCTTTGGGGCACCTATCGGTGGAGTATTATTCAGCCTGGAAGAGGTAATGACTTCTGTCTGTAAAGCATGTATATGCCTTTGTATTAGAAATCTTAGCCAGTATCTATGTATGTTGCGATCTCTGAGTGTTCTGCTCAACTTGGTCCTTTGGCATGTAACCAGAAATTTCTGGAAAGTTTTTGTCCTTGACTATAATGTCAGCAGCCCCAGCATTTCATCTGAAACAGTTTTTGCACCCTGACCAAGTTTGCTTTCTCCCCTTCTGCCTTGTAGGTCAGCTACTATTTTCCCCTGAAAACACTATGGCGTTCATTCTTTGCTGCCCTAGTGGCAGCTTTTACACTCCGGTCCATCAATCCATTTGGAAACAGCCGCTTAGTTCTATTTTATGTGGAGTTTCACACCCCATGGCATCTTTTTGAGCTTGTGCCATTCATTGTGCTGGGCATATTCGGTGGCCTTTGGGGAGCTCTGTTTATCCGCACAAACATTGCCTGGTGTCGGAAGCGTAAAACCACACAATTGGGCAAGTATCCTGTCGTCGAGGTACTCATTGTAACAGCCATCACTGCCATCTTGGCTTTCCCTAATGAATACACCCGGATGAGTACAAGTGAGCTCATTTCTGAGCTATTCAATGACTGTGGCCTTCTGGACTCCTCCAAGCTCTGTGATTATGAAAACCATTTCAACACAAGCAAAGGCGGTGAGCTGCCCGACAGACCTGCTGGCCAAGGCGTCTACAGTGCTATGTGGCAGCTGGCTTTGACCCTCATACTGAAAATAGTCATCACTATATTCACCTTTGGCATGAAGGTGAGGAGTTCTTCTGGTGACGTCTGTGTGAATGTTCTGTGTGGATGTGGGCTTTGGAGGGCAAAGCCAAAGTATTCTACAGTCTTTGATAGATAGTTCATGTGCTATCAGCTTTCCCAGAAGCCTCTGTGCCTCCCAGTGTTTTCATGACTTGGTGGACAATGATAACTCTGTCTCAAGTTGCTGATACCTATGCTTAGTCAAATGCAAACCTCACTAATGAGTTTTGAATAGAAACATTTTCTTTTTCTGTGTAAAAACATTTTCCCCACAAAAAAGGATAGTTTGTACTAGAACATTTTCTATCAGAGTACAATGTCTGACTAATGCACTGTTAATCTTTATAGCAGTGGTTCTCAACCTGTGGGTCAGAACCCCATGGGAGTTACGTATCAGATATTTACATTACAATTGAGAACTGTAGCAAAATTACAGTTATGATAAAGCAACGAAAATAATTGTATGGTTGGGGTCACCACAACATGAGGAACTGTATTAAAGGGTCATACAGTTAGGAAGGTTGAAAACCACTGCTTTATAGGGTACATGTTAGACTTCATTAGAGAAGCATGGTTTTAGCCTGAACTCCATGAGCTTACCAATGTTCCACCATCTTAAACACATTTTAATGTTTAGCAACTTCATGGAGTCCAACCCAACACACAGCTAAATGACATTTTTACCATCAGTAGCCTTGCTTACTTGGTAACAAGTAGAATTCATCTGCTTCAGAGGTTACGATTAAAATATTAAAATATTTCAGCTATCAAAAATAGATAACACAGACCAGTAAGATGGCTCTGTTGATAACAGTGCTTGCCACTTGAGTTCATTTCCTAGAACCTACATGGTCAAAAGCAAGAACCAACTCCTGAAAGTTCACACACACACACACACACACACACACACACACACACACACACACACACACTCACTCACAGACACACTCACACACCACAATAAATGTAGAAAATAATCTAAGCACATTTTTACAGAGGTCGTTAAAGAAGCTACAGAGGTTGATGTCGTACACTCAAGGAGTAAGTCTAGTGCTCTATAACAAAGTAAAGTGACAGTACTGATCATTTATTGTGTGTTTCAAAAGAGGACTTTGAATGTTCCTAAGACAAAGACATAAATGCTTAAATGATAGATATGGTGGTTATCCTGATTTGATCATTACATGTTGTATACATAGATCCAAATATCACACTGTACTCAATAAATATGTACAATCATTGTGTCCAACTTTAAAAGCAGATCTTAGGATGTGCCATTCTTTACCTTTAATATCAGTTACAATCTTCAAGTTTTAGAAGCAACAAAAACAGAAAATTGGTCAAAGCATTTGTTTCCTCCATTCTAGGTTTTTCTTCTCTTTTGTTTCTTCTCTTCCATACCCTACTACCAAATTGTTCCCTCTCTTCTCCATGGAAAGGCATTGAACCAAGGATATGATGGAGAGCCTGAAAAGTTTCTGGGTGCTTCTTGGGTTAATTTCAACATTGTCGTTTCATTGTTTTATTTAAAGGGAATCTGTAGCCACAGAACAGCAACTTCAGTTGCATTCCAATATCAAATACTATTGAACCATAAGCTGTTCTGATTATGTTTGCTATCATTTCCTTCCTTTAATAGTGATAGTTCATACAAGACAAGAAACAGAACAGGAAGGTGGATGAATGTTCCCTTTGTTTGGTTAAGCATGCAGCTATCACCATTATCTCATTGAAAATTTATGTTTAATCATCTGTTGTGTTGTTATAAGGTAGATGGAAACTTCCTATGCCATCTTTTTGATTTGGGTGATGGGTTAGGACACAATATATAAGTGTCATTAGGAGCATTTTATTTAAATCCCGACACTAATATTCACTAACTCTTGACCTTGGGTAAATGACTTAACTTCTGAACCTTGGGGTCTATCATTTGGGAATAATAATGTCTAATCCCTGGGGTGATTATTGAGCATCTATAAAAATCTTACATGTAGACCATCCAGCATAAAACACAATAGTCAACAAAGGGTAGATTGTTACTGATAAAAATTCAGAATTGGGGGAAATGTCTGCATATATAAGAAATTCCATCTATTTTCCTTTTTCTTTGGGAAAGGCCTAATTTCTGCCTCCAGTTTTGTGTTGGTCTGGAGAGGTCAGGCTCTTGCCTGATGGACCCCCGAATCAGGGTAAGCTTCTTCGACGTCACCCTTGCCTGCACGTCTCAGAGAACCTCTAGTCCCTGTAGTGTTACACAAATCTCTGCAGCCACGTGGTAGCATAGTGCATAGTTAAATTGTCGTTGGCCTGTTTGCTTCGCAGAGGGTCAGTCCTCAAGCCCTTCCATATGCCAAGAAGCACAGCATCTCTTACTGAGTACCTCTTGCTTTCTCTTTGCAGATCCCTTCTGGTCTCTTTATCCCCAGCATGGCTGTCGGCGCTATAGCAGGCCGTCTTTTAGGAGTAGGAATGGAGCAGCTGGCTTACTACCACCATGACTGGGGCATCTTCAACAGCTGGTGTAGTCAGGGAGCTGATTGCATCACACCTGGCCTTTACGCTATGGTTGGGGCTGCGGCCTGTTTAGGTGAGTAGTAGTGTTTGCGTTGGCTTCAAAGAAGTCACCCTGCCAGTGACATACAAATGAAGAGTAATAAGAAATGCCATGGACTGCAACGTGGGTTTTTTCACGATTATCCATTTCTTGTTGAGTTTACTATTTCTCAAACATTTTAAGAAAGATAATTCTAATTTCTCACATAGGGAAGTCATCAGAAATCTGGACATAGCGAGCTGCTTAAGAATGTGTATCACAGTATTATTTATAAGAACAAAAATCAGGCAGGTGTGGTGGCACATGCCTGTAATCAGCCCTTGGGAGGCTAAGCAGGGAGGATCTCAAGTTCCGGGCCTGCCTAACCCACATAGTAAGACCTTGTCTGAAGACCAGCCCAACCTCTGCCCCCGCCAATGAAAAGCCACCTAAATTTGAACATTAAGGAACTTGTGAAATAAATTGTGCTCCAGCCATATATTACATTATACAGCCCTTAAACATGATGCTGTTACGTTTAACATATTTGTGTGTGTGCGCAAGTGTAGGATGCTAGGGATTGAACCCAAGGTGTGCTACTTGCTAGGCAAGCTCTGAGCTATATTCCAGTGCTATATAAACACCACTGAGCTGTATTTCGAGGCTCCTTTCCCTTTTTATTTCAAGACAGACTCTCACTAAGTTCTTCCCGCACTTGCGATCCTCTTGCCTCCACCACCTGAGTAACAGAATTACAGGCCTGGACCACAAGGCCCCTCTGTTATGTTTAGCATCTTTCAATGGGATATTTAAATCTTTTTTCTTACGTTTGTTTTGTGGTGGGAGAGGGGAAGCCTGTGTCCCAGCGTGTGTGTGGAGGTCAGAGGACAACTTGCCAGATTCACGTCTCTCCTTCCACCATGTGGGTTCTAGGCGGTCAAACTTAGTTCATCAGACTTGGCCACACGTAGCCATCTAGTTATCCCAACCCTTTAAATTTTTTTGTTAATATAATTTTAAATTGGTAATAATGTCGAATATTCCAAACAAATAATGGGAGAAAAGTATGATAAGGAACTAAATATAATATGAGCTCACGTATGTAAAAATACATGTTTTTGTATCAGAAAAACTTGAAAATTTTACTCTGCTTGTATATAAATATATGCAGTTTTGAGTTGAAAAAAACGAAAATTTTATTCTGCTTATAGACAGCTAAATTTTCTATGATGAGCATATATTGCATTTACAATTAGGAAAAAGATGAGTTTTTAAAAACTAGAAGGTTGTCTCTACTTTGTTATTTTAAGTACTCTAAGCTTTGTCTGCCATACAGCCTCGCTATAATGCAATCTGGAATCTGCACAATTGTTGGGGAGACCCTGTTCTAGCATTATTTCTAGTGCTTTTTCAGTGAGACCCAGAGCAGTCACGCAATTGTAATGACTCCTGTGCTTTGTTTCCTATGTCTGTTTTCTTTGCAGGTGGGGTAACTCGGATGACCGTTTCTCTTGTTGTCATAATGTTTGAACTGACTGGTGGCCTGGAATATATTGTGCCTCTGATGGCTGCAGCTATGACAAGCAAGTGGGTGGCAGATGCTCTTGGGCGAGAGGGCATTTATGATGCCCACATTCGTCTCAATGGATACCCCTTTCTTGAAGCCAAAGAAGAATTCGCTCATAAGACTCTGGCAATGGATGTGATGAAGCCCCGGAGAAATGACCCTTTGCTGACTGTCCTTACTCAGGACAGTATGACTGTGGAAGATGTAGAGACCATAATCAGTGAAACCACTTACAGTGGCTTTCCAGTGGTAGTCTCCCGAGAGTCACAAAGACTCGTGGGCTTTGTTCTTCGAAGAGATCTCATTATTTCAATTGGTAAGGATTTCAGAAAGGGAATAAAGGCACTTTCTAAGTGTGTGTGAAATCGGGGAGACAAAGGGAAGAGGGGCCTGGTTAAGGGACAGGATGTAGAGCTAGCACTTCAGCTTTCAACTTTTCATTTCCTTCTCTTCACATAGAAAATGCTCGGAAGAAGCAGGATGGGGTTGTGAGCACTTCCATCATTTATTTCACTGAGCACTCACCTCCAATGCCACCATACACTCCACCTACCCTGAAGCTTCGGAACATCCTGGATCTCAGCCCCTTCACTGTGACAGACCTTACGCCAATGGAGATCGTAGTAGATATCTTCCGCAAGCTGGGACTGCGCCAGTGCCTGGTTACACACAATGGGTGAGCACCCTTGAAAAAAGGCAGTTTGGATTGTGGGAGAAACTGAATAGAGAGATAAGAGGGAGAACCTGAATTTAAATAAACACTTTTAGGCCTTTTTGAAGCTCCAAGAAGAAGGTAGATGTGATGAAAGGGCCTTGTTTGACAGATGCAAACTATTAGTTGAACATTATCAGTAACTCAGTTTCTCCTCTACCAAGAAAGGAACTGTGCTATTGTGCACAGGCATCACTGAGATTGGAATGGTATCAGAGATGTACAGTGGTGCCTCCAGCCCTTGGAACATACCTTCACAGATCACCACCAGAAGCCTGAATCTGTGGCTAGTAGTGACCTTCATATATACTGTGTTTGTTACTGTATATATCCCAAACCTATAAGGAAGCTTAATTTATAAGTCAGATGCAGTCAGAGAGCAAAAATAATAAATATGAATTAGAACAATTATAATACACTGCCATAAATGTTTTGTGAATGCAGAGTGTCCCCTCCTTTTAAAATACCTTACTATATTGTTTTAGACTATGATTGCCCTTGAGTAACCAAAACCATGGTTACAGGGGACTGCTGACCGGGGTGGTGGCACTTATTAGTAATCCCAGCACTTGGGTAGTAGAAGCAGGAGAAGCAGTTCAAGGCCAGCCTCAGCTATGTAGCGAGTTTAGGTCCCCCTGGTCTAGATGAGACTCTGTCTCCAAAGGAAAGGAAGACTATTGTACTTGACACTTATAACCCCTTGTTAGTCTTTGAAGACAAAGAACAAATTTCCAAGTTTCAGTGAGGTCTGTCTACAGAAAGGGCCCCTGGTCAGATAGATGGTAGGGTAGGCTGTAAATCACAAGTCTTTGAACTTCCAAGCCCAAGGCTCTCTCTCTTCTTCCTGGAATACATCTTGTCCAGTAAAGAAGCCCTGCTGTTGTTATTGGAAAAGAGTGCAGGCTAAGGAGAGGGTTGGAGGGTTTTCTTGTTTTTAGCACTTTATCTTAACCTAACAACTCTATAAGAACTCCTCCTGCTTCTAAAATTTGGAAGTGGCATAATAAATAACTTACAAGAGCTAAGTCAGTAAATAGACTTTCTCTAGTAGGTAGGTGTCTGTTCAGCACTTACTGAAACCCTAACTCATGTAAGAAGATTCTCCATGAGATTCTGGGAGACATGAAAGTGAACAAGCCTTTCTCTGTCCTTGAGTAGTGTGTATAGTTATAGGGACGTCAGGAACACACAAGTGATCATAGGGCAACAGCAAAATAATAATAATAATAATTATAATAATAATAATAATAATAATGACTGTGGAAGAGCCTGCACAGAGCATGCCATTGCTGGGGGCAGGGCAGAGTCGTCTCAGCTGCTTCACAGGACCAGGGATGTTTGGGGGTGGGGCAGCATTTGAACTGGGCTGCAGGAAGTAGATAAGATTCATAGGTTTGGAGAGTAACATTTAAATCAGGAGAAAATGTGGGACCTGAGACCTGATGTAGAAGTGTCAGTGTTTTCAGGGACATATGCATTGCTCCATTTGTCTGGAGTATATATACATCTTACTGTTAGTTCATCATTCTCTAAGCACAGATAGTGATGAAAGACAAAGTTGAGAAGGATTGAGGAGAACAAGCATCACTTTTAGTTAAGAACACTGTTTTTTCACTGTACGCTTATTTGGGTTTTGTTTTATGTTTTTGTCTTTCAGGCGCTTACTTGGCATCATTACCAAAAAGGATGTGTTAAAGCACATAGCACAGATGGCAAACCAAGATCCTGATTCCATTCTCTTCAACTAGAATCATGGGGTTGTTTGGGATATGAAACAAGGACATTGCGGACCATGGATATATTTTGTTAACTGGGTACCCAAAACACATTTCCCATATTTGGATGGTGAAGTCATATTAGTGTGTTGTCTGTTTCCTACAAGTTAACCAGTTGCACTACGTAATTTCTGGAAATGAATCTCTCTAGGAGAAAGTACAGTTAGGCTTATGTGATACTGCATTAGGAAGGGTTCACGAAAGAGAAACGAGATTGCTATGGTTTAATTATGTTTCTTCTTTAAAATTTTTTTTTAATTTAAAAATAATTGTTAGCCAATATGCAATCACTGAAAACTATGCAAGAAAAATTCCAACTATTCTGACATATAGCCTGCAGGAAACTCATGAATGCGTTATATGTGGGGAGGACTCTAACTGTCATTGGTGGAAGATGAAGTGTGAACTAAGGGGCTTTGCCTTTCAAGCTACAGAAAGGAAAGCCAGAAGGAAATAGCAATGGCATTTTTCAGACTGTGAAGATTCAGTTAAATTCTTATTCCTGTTACAGTATTTAGCGTTATTAGTTTGTTACGTTTACCTTTTCATTAGAAGACAGTGCTGCTCTGGTTAATCTCCTCCAAGTGAAGTAGAGGACTTGACCTTTAGAGCCTGCTTGTCCTGGTCTTTTGAAGTGCACAAAATTAAGTTACAGAGCTTTCTCCTTGGCTGCAGAAAGGCTAATTCTCCAATGGCAATGCTAGCTGGTAGACAAGGACTTTGTTAGCAATTTGTTACTAGCTAGGAATTCTTTCTTCTGGTTTTCTTGAAATGATAAAGTTCTGAGCAAAGTCGGTGACTAGGAATTTCACATTTTTGTGAAGTCCTAACCAAATGTCTTACCCAGATGCCACCTCCATGGATGATGGTGCTTTAGGCTTCTGGAATAAGTGAGAACAGTATATGGAACCGAGCCTAGGCTGAATACTGGTAAAGCAGGGGAGATCCCTTTAAAAAGACCACCAGTACTAAAATAACTGGACACCTGTGCTCCTCCCAGTGTGGAGTATGCAGAACAAGCCGTTGTTCCTGTGAGCATGAAGGAGGCTTGAGATACTTCTACATGTCTTGAAGGAACTGGAACAGGATAGGCGACTGCAGCTGCCTTGAGGTACCATCCTTAGATCCAACTGAAATGCAGAGCTATCCTAAAACCTAGGTGTATGGATGAGGCCTGATGACACCAAAGGTGCTTGTACCCAGTTAAAAAGGTGCCTGTCTCAATTTCCTACCACAGCTGTGGCAGTTTAAACAAAATCACATTCTAGAAACACCTGGTGGAATTCAAGAGCCACCACCAGCATTCCAGCCACTCTCATTTTCTATCATTTTATCCATGTGCAATTCCTCTCCCTCCATTCTGTTTGCCTTTCTTCTCAGCACGGACTCCTCTGTAGGATGGAGCAGTCTGCTTAGTTAATCATTCCTAATGACAAAAGAGCCCTACTAGGGCTAGTTGAATTGTAAGCCAAGGCTTAGCAGTCTCGCAGCACTCGGACTAGAGGTGACATTTTTTTGTTTGCCATGTGGCCCTGTTGCTGCTGCCATGCCTCCATTTCAGTGTCAGCTGCCCATAGCAGTGAGGCCACATTGTTGGGTAAGAGTTCAGCCTTGTTCATCTTACACGTCTGTCCCTAATTCTTCCTACTGTCCTGTCCTTCTAGCTCAGAATCAGCGGCACTTGGCACATTCCTGTGTGTAACCCACCCCTCCCAAGCAACTCAGTGTACCTCATTTTAAACGTTGTTGATCCCCGAGTCAAGGACTTTTTTTTTAACCCCCTGTTCTTATCGTTCCAAAATCAGAAATTCTTTTATTATCCAGGACTGAGTCGCCAAAGCATATTTTGATTTTTATCTTTACTATATATATCAAGGTAGTCACCAGAGTTTTCTCCTTTTAAATATATGGCTCTGGCATTTTAATGAAAAAAGAATGCTTTGGGGTACATGGTATCATAATCATGGCTCTGTGACTTGGTGTCTTGTTCCTTCTGTGCCACTGCATTCTTTGTATCAGATGAGATCCTGCCTGGCCACCCAGTGTATTGTGTGCAGATCAGAGTTCTTGTCTGTATACTTCAGGGTCAGTCAGTACCTTTTTGATTAGTGATGCTTCCTCACTAAAGTTGGCAGCACAGGCCAGGTCACTGTGCCTGGTATTTGATGGCAAGGGAAGGAAGGTTTGGTCAGATCTCCTAGAGCAGCAGTGGCATGGATCTTGTTTGCCTTCCAGTTGTTGTCTTCATTATACACAGACGAGCCAGTGTTAAGGTGCTACTTCAGAGACTAAATCTAAGAAATCAGATAACACTGTGCGAATGGATGCTGTCCAGAGGCTAAGCACCTATGGGCCCTCCAGATAATTGACATTGTCCCTTTGATACCTCACTCCTTAGAAATATCATTCATTAACCTCAGTTTCTCAGGAATCCTTGTAGCTGGTATGCTAGAAATAGCTGTAGGGTATGGTGTCCATTGTATGTCCAGTCTTAGGGTTTAGCTCAATGGTTGCCTGGTTCTTACTGGAGTACTCTACAGGATTGCTAGCCTAGCACCTGGACACACAGTGGTTCTTGTCTTGAGGTAAAGGGAAGTTCTTTCTGTCATCGCCATTCCATTTCATCACTTAGATAATCCTAAAAACAAAACAAAACAAAAATAAAAAAACAAATTGAATATAGGGCAGTCTGTCAGTAGCCTCAAATGACTACATACCTCAATGGTAAAAAACTGGATAATTTAAGATTTTAAAATGAATTGAGACAAGTTTATTTTGGTACTGGAAAAGAAAATAGCCTGATATAAGGAAAGCGTTTACAGAAGAACACCAATAAATGCCTCAAGAGTGTGAATTTTCCAAGGAAATATATCTGGAGGAAATCTAGCCATGAAGGGAGTTCATGGACCTGTAAAAGTCTAAACTGCTAAATTTTATACCTTCACACCTTCAATGGAAAGAACTTAATGTAGTTGCGAGAGCGTGCGCAGTGAGCTCAATTAGAGATAGCAAATGGGACTGGCAATGTGAAAAAAGCTGTTCCGGAGCATGTGTACTTCTATTTGCAGCAGCCTCCTCTCTCTGGCCCCAGTGTCCTGGAGCAGCCAAGCTGCAGAGTAGAGTTGATGGAGTCTACAGAACAGAGCTCCTCTGGTGGATTAGCTGGAATTGATGAGACTTGGAATTGGCCAGCTGGCAGAGCAAACAATTAATTTGCTGGTTTAACTGCAAAGCAGGCCAGTTGTTCTGGCACTAAAGTCTAGCTCTAAACTCATTACAGGAAGAGCAGGAGCCTTTGTAAAAAGATCAGTCTCTAAATGTGTGGGCTCGACTTTACTGTTCTAAAATGTTAATCTTTACAACCACCTGTCTGGGTTCCCTTTAGGGGGACGGGGAGGCACTGAAAATGATGACAGGCCTGCTTAACAAAATGTGCATCATGCCAGGTATGAAGAAAGCCATCCCGAGTCCCAGTCCATGTATCTTGGCATAAGGTGGACAGAAAAAGTTTAATTATGTGCCTCAAAGGGAGAAAAAGACAAATCATCCTCAAGTCCAGGATTCCCAAACTAGCACCTCAAAGCACCATTTGGCTTCAGGACAGTCTAGTTTTGTGGAAAGGGTCAACATAAGACATTTACTTAAGGAGGAACATACTATCTGAGGGTCTAGATGATGATGTTCTACCGTTTTTGTTTTAAGCCGCCCTACTATGACCTTATTCTATATTGGAAATATAGCTCTTTTCTCATTGCAGCTCAGAAGCTGTGTAGGTTTGGAGATAAGTGGGCACAGCAGAGCTGGGCAATTGCTGAGCTTTGCTTCAGTTTCAGCCATTTGTTCCAAGGAGAGAGGTTCTTGGAAAAACGTGTGTTAGCAACTTTAAGCAACTCCCTGTACATATGCTGGCCACATTCTCATTGCTAAGCATCTGCATCTGGGCAAAGTTATGAAGAGATGAAGGGTACAAAATGAATTTTTCCATGATGTTAGTATGATTTTGCCAAATCCTCCAAGAAGGATGTGATGTGGAGTTTTCCTTCTTTTTCTTTTTTTCTTTTCTTCTTCTTCTTTTTTTTTTTCTTTTTTTTTGCATGGGGCCTATCAGGTTGCCCAGCCCAACCTTACGGTCAAAAATTCCTACCTCTAAGTTGCTACCAAAGGGTCTTTGGCCTGCATGTGCACACTTGTCAAATGAATGCCCTGGCTAAAGTTTGGCCTTTTGAGGAGAAACAGTGATGGTACATACAAGGCAAAACCCGCAATCTTTCTCTGCCTCATTTCTTTTGCTCCCAAATTCAAATCTCTCCCCATGTTTATGAGCATGTTGTCTGAATATGGACTTTGGTGGGTAGGGAGAAGTTGACCCTGAGAACGGAGAAGGGCAACTCCTCTGTTGATGAGGCCATTGACAGATTGCTTACTCCACAGTAGGGGCCAAAGCCAGCAATCCTTACTGGGAGTGTCGAGAGCTTTAGCTGTGTTAGATATTAGTCCAAATGTGCTGGAATTTGGGGTAGTGTAGGATTCCATGAGAAAAATGTCATTTAGTGAAATGGGGAAGAAGGCAGGACCTGTGATGGTTTTTTTTAATTAAAGTGGGAGTGTTCACCTTGCTGTCAAGTAGAGGGTACCTCAGAATATATGATTCTTCTTCCCTCCACTCACTTTCTTGCCTTTCCTTTCTTCTCCATTGTCCTGCCTTTTTAGTATTCAGCCTTTTATATAAGTATTTACTTTTTTTTACTATATATTTGGTCCTTTGGGACTGTGTGATGATTAAATTGTACCATTCAAGATAAAATTATATGTTTAATATTTTATTCTCTAAAATTGTCTTTTGAAGCTATGCTGCTATCCAGGTACAGGTCAGAAAGGAAATGGGCCTGATAGCATCTTGGTCATGTCACCAAAGGGTGACTATAATGTCATGATGATGACTCTTCTTTATTTGACCAAGGCCAGCCTCCTGTTTATACCTCTGCCCATTCATTTCTGGCCATGGGAAATATACCAGCTATTGGGTGAGCCATTGAAGCCAGGAGGACCAGAAGGGCCAGGATCCAGCCCATGAGCACCACGGGAATTTCTCTGTAGGAAGCTCATTTGTAGGGCTGGCTTCAGTCGCAGTAGCCAAAGAAAATCTGTCTGACTGGACATTTTAATTGCTAAGAGTTGGTCAAAGTTCAGCTGAAGCTAATGCATAGATATCTGTAGTAGCTTGGCATCCAGACATGAGCTTCAACCAAAGCTAATAAAGCCCAAGTTTCCACAGGAAGCTTGGTGCTGAGCTGTTCAGATCAGTCATTTACCAGAGTGTTGCCAACCCTTCAGCCATGCTTTTGTAGCTTTATCCTCACCTGCTTATATACCCAGCCGGATCCAAAGCTGTGGCTTACTGCTCACTTTGTTCTGCTCCCTGGTCATGTATAGTGACATAGTGTAAAAAGGAAAACATGGATTGGGGAGTTAGGTGACCTGGTTTGTATTCCCTATGCTTCTACTAATTAGCCTCAAGATCTTAACCGCTCTGTGCCTCAGTGTTCCCATCTGCAAAATGGGGATAGTGTAAATTGCCCTACCTACCTCACAGGGTTGTTGTGAGGATAAACTGAGACAATGAATGGAAAGCACTTTGACAAGTAAGTGCTATGCAAATTGTAAGAAAATGGAAACAATCACGTTCAAGGCAATGGAACGGACATTAGCAGAAAGGTTAATGGGATTGTCCAGCCCTTTCTCTGTGTGGCTTATACCTAGGTTGCCATTGCTTTATACATTTTCACTTAGCACAGATTTGTAATTATGCATGTAATAAAGCACAGCCTTATTCAACTTGATTCTAGTATGTTTTTGAAGACCCTGAACTTCAAAAGTGTTGACTTTTCTTTATCATAAAAGAAAACATGAGGACATGGTGTGGGGTCTGTGGAATGGTTTAAAAAGCAACTGTGGGGTTGGAGAGATGGCTCGGTGGTTTAGAGCACTTGTTGCTCTTGCAGCAGACCCAGGTTCAATTCCCAGCACTCACATGATGGCTCACAACCATCTGTAACTCCAGTTCCAGGGGATCTGATGATCTCTTCTGGCCTCCACAGACACTAGGTGTACACATGGTGCACATACATACATGCAGGCAAAACAAAATAAGTCTAAAAAATTTTTAAATTTTAAAGCAACTGAAAACCACTACTATCAGACTCACATCTTTAAAATGTTGGTGAAATACTAATTATTACACTTACAGATTTAGTGGTATGCTCCCCTCCCCCCAGTTCTGGGGATGGACTCTAAGACCTTGAATACTCTTAGCAAAATTTCTACTATTGAGCTGTATCCCCAGCCTCAGCCTCAGTACTGATTTTTAAAAATTTTTTAATATAATTTATTTATTTTTATTTTATGTACATTGTTGTTTTACCTGTGTATGTCTATGTGAGGGTGTCAGATCTTGAAGTTACAAAAAGCTGTTAGCTGCCATGTGGGTACTTGGAATTGAACTCAGTCCTCTGGAAGAGCATTTAGTGCTCTTAACTGCTGAGCCATCTCTCCAGTCCCTGGTTTTTACTAGAAGGAAACAAATGAGGAGCACCTGGTGTTTATGAGGCACTGCTGATACCTGGATACCCCATTTATTCTGGCCGATTACATGCTGTTATCTTGTGATGACATGAGAGTGAGCTTGGAGCTGCATTTTTTCTCTCTGAATTCTCAATCATGTAGATGGTAGACTTTGGCAGACTAATACAGTTGCTTCAGATGAGGAGTAGGATGGGTGATTAAAATGTTTCCCCGGGGTTGGGAAGATAACTTAGTATTTAAGAGCATGTGCTGCTCTTGCAAAGGACCTGGACTTGATTCTGATTCTGTTCCCAGCACCCACATCTGGCAGCTCACAGCCAGCTGTAACTCCAGCTCCAGGGAGATCCCATGCCTCTGGTCTCCCTGAGCACCAGCACTCATGCAGAAACTCCAACACACAAACAAGTTTAAGAAATATTTTTAGTGTTGAGCAGTGTTCACCTGTGAATACCACCCACCCTTCTCAGTAGCCTGTTTACAGTATGTTGACAATAAAATGCCTTTGATGAGGAACCCTTCAGAGTGGCCATGTAAATTAAAGAGGGGTGGAGCATGGAAAAGTGATTAGATATGCAACACTTACTGCCACGCCTCTGAAACCTAGAAAAGAAAAGAAGGCTATTCTTTGAACTATGGTTTCTCTCCTCTTTTTCCTGTAGCTGACTCCTTAGGCCCTACTCCTTCCCTCTTTCAGCCAGATACTACCTGTAAGGCAGTTTACATGGATCCCAGTTTTATTCTGAGAGTTTCTCTATGATGAGGCTGGAGAGAAGGCTCAGTGGTTAAGAACATTCATTGCCCTTGCAAAAGACATAAATTTGATCCACACCACCAATGTCAATGGCTCACAACCTCCTATTACTCCGGTTTCAGGGGATCCTGATGCTCTCTGGCCACTGCAGGTACATGTACTGTCTTAGTCAGTGTTCTATTTCTATGAAGAGATACCACGGCCATGGCAACTCTTATAAAAGAAAGCATTTGATAGGAACTTGCTTCCAGTTTCAGAGGTTTAGTCCTCTGAAGAGGTTTAGTTACCATCATGGTGGGGAGCATGGCGGCACACAGGTTGACATGGTGCTAGAGAAGGAGCTGAGAGTTCTGCATCCAGCTCCACAGGCAGCAGGAAGAAGACAGAGCCACTGACCTATCTTGAGCTTTTAAAAACCTCAACGGCCACCCCTCGTGGCACACTTGCTCCAACAAGGCTACACCTCCTAATCCTTTCAAATAGTGCCAATCCCTGGTGAGCAAGTATTCAAATATTGAGCCTACGGGGCCCTTCTTGTTCAAATCACCACACTGCACTGATGTGCCACTTCCACACACAAGCAAAATATAAAAATTCATTTGTAAAGGTTTATGTTGATATGTGAACATATCTGTACTGGTGTTGACATCTTGCTGCTACCACGAACATTGTTACCCTTGTCTTTACTTAGTGCCATTTGGGGAAGCACTTCTATGTATCAAAATAAGCCTTATAGGCCAGAAATCCTGGGCTGGTGAAATGGCTCATTGAGTAAAAGCATTTGCCACCAAGCTTGAAGACCTGGGTTCAATCCTTTAGGACTCACATGGTGAACTGATTCTGACAAGTTGTCCTGGCATACATATGTGGTGCTGTGGTATGTGCGTGTGTGCGTGCGTGTGCACATGCACATACACACACACACACACACACACACACGCACACGCACACGCACACGCGCGCACACACACACACGTGCATGCACAAGCTATTTTTAAGAACTTGAAGTCTCACGTTTTTTTGTTTGTTTTATGAGACAGGCTTCCACATAGCCCAGGCTGGCTTCAAACTTGTCACTTAGGCAAGTGTGACATTGAACTGATCCTCTCCTTCCTTGGTGATGGAATTACAGGTGTATAGCACTACACCCAACCAATAGTTTGGCTCCTGGTATTATTTATTAACTTCGCAGTCGCACTTTCTGTACTGTCACTGTCCCTGCTTCTTCCCAAGAAAAGAAAGTAAGGAGCCTGTGGGGCTGTTACTGTAGGCCTCGGATAAACACGGATGGAGTACGAAGGACAGACGATAGATTGTCTGGTCCAGGTGAGCCCAGAGAAAAACCTGAGAATGGCCACCAGATGTCAGTGCTATCATGAAAGTACTGATGTGCCGAAGGAAGGCAGGTAGATCAAGAAGCAGTTCATATCTATAGCTGAGCTATGGGAATACTAAGTTCAACCGTAATCTTGGTTTATTAGACATTTTGTTTAATGTACATAATAAAATATGCTTTTCTTGTGAAAAGACTTAAGAGTCAGGAGCGGTGAAACATGCCTGTAATTCTAGCAGAGGATCTTGAGTTTAAGCCTAGCCTGGCCTATATAACAAGATTCTGTCTTATCTGGTTGCCTATATCACTTCTGTTATGACCCAGACAATTAAAAAAGTATTGTTTTTAAGTGTGTGCTTGTGTGTGCATATGCATTGTGTGCAAGTGTAAGCAAAGGCATGCACAGGCCAGAAGAGTGTGCTGGATCCCCGAGACTGGAGTTAAATGCAGTTGTGAGCTGCCTGCCATGGTTACTGGGAACCAAACTTAACCACTAAGCCATCTCTCCAGCCCCTTTTGACGATAACTGTCAGTGGGCAAGAGATATAGACTGAAACTATTCCAGGCAAACAGAAGCATGTTCACTATTTCCCAGGCTCTCCTCTATTCCACTATTTCCACTCTAGCTCCAGGTCACCCAAACTCCTTCCCTAGGGTCTTAGGCTCTGCCCTTCCCTTGAATGCCTATGGATCTTCTGGACTCTCCTCCCTCACACTAAACATCCCCAGTTGCCACTGGGTGTGAGATAAAAGAAGTATTGAGGCATTGAGTTTATTCTCAAAAATTAAAGCCTCGCTGGATGTGGTGGTGCATTCCTGTATTTCCAGCTACTTGGGAGGCTAAATGAGGCAGGAGCACCAAGGGTTCCAGGCTAGCCTTGGCTACATAGCAGGGCCCTATCTCGTAGTAAAACAGAACAAAGCACAACCCGATTGTTACCATCTTAGCACAATCTTTGTGATGAAGAATATGTTTTGCTCTTGATTTTGATTATGAACTTTGATCTCTCTGAACCTCACTACCTATAAAGTAGGTGAGGGGCTGGAGAGATGGTTTAGAGGTTAGAGCATGACACCAGTTTGTTTCCCAGCGCCCACACTGGACAGCTCCCAAGCACCTCTAACTTGAGCTTCAGGAGGTCTGACACCTCTTTGAGTTGGTAGGGCACTTGCACTCACATGCACATATCTTCATATAAACACACACACAGAAATAAATACTTTTAAATCTTCCAAAAGAAAACCTTGCCTCATTGGGGCATTGACATGATAAGTCAAAACTGTATATGAAAACTTGACTTTGAAAATTGCCTATATAAGCATCGTATTACTTATTTGGTTGTGAAGGCTAAAAAGATAGTGTGTGGGCATGTACATATATGTCAGCATTCTATCGCTATAATAAAGTATCTGAGACAATTAAATTAGAAAATTGGCTACAGTTCTGGAGGTTCCAGTCTGCAATCAGGTAACTCTATTACTTTTGGGCCTTTGGTTGGGGTGCCGGATGGTAATGATGGCCATCATATGGCAGAACAGTGGTGCTTACACAATGAACAGAGGAGCAACAGTAAGAAGAGAGAAAGCTGGCATTCAAGTCCACAGTTCCCTTCAAAAGCACACTCTCGGTGACCTAAAGACTTCCAAACTAGACAGTCGGAACAGTACTGTATCTCCCAATAATGTGGGAACTAGGCCTTCAGCACATGTTCTTCTAGAGACATTCAAGATCTGAACAGCATGTGTGTTCTAGGGCATAATAAAAAATATTCATATCCAAACAGCATGTGTGTTCTAGGGCATAATAAAAAATATTCATATCCAAACATCATGTGTGTTCAGGGCTGTCTTAGTTACTTTTCTGTTGCTGTGAAAAGACACCACAACCAAGGCAACTTATAGAAGAAGGAGTTTATTAGGGCTCATAATTTCTGAGGGTGATTCCATAACCATTATGGCAGGGAACATGGCAGCATGCTGGCAGGCAGGGCACTGAAGCAAGCGGAAAAACTTACATCTTGATTCCACAAGCAGAGGCAGAGAGAGCCGACTGAATGGTGTGGGCTTCTGAAACTTGAAAGGCCACCCCCCCACCATGTGACACACCTCCTCCAATGAGGCCACACCTCCTAATCCTTCCCAAACAGTTTCATCAACCTGAGGACAAAGTACTG